TAGAAGTAAGAGTCAGAAAAGGCCTAAATAAAATCCTCACTGAAATTTTTAAACATACAAGCAACAGAGACAAATTAGGTTGAGGTCAGATGCAGTACTACTATATTTTATGGAGTTAATAATTAGGGCCAAATTAACATGGACAGTTATTACTCCTGAATGAAAATTAACTAAACAAATAATTTAAATTTCTATTTTTTTAGTCTACACATTTTAGCTAACAAGACACACAAATATAAGTCTATCTACAAAGCTCAGAAATTCCAAAAAGTCAAGTTTCTTTAATTCATTACTGAATTTAAGAACTTTAAGGAATACAAATGACAACAGCAAAGATATAGTTGAGTAAGTAGGTAGAAAGGTAGATGGTTCAGAGTTGTTTGTCCAAGCTGTAGTATTCAAATTACATTTGACACTGGTCTCTTTGTTTTCTATTTGAAAATACCGTTCAACTTGAAAGTAAGAGTGAAAAGAACCAAGCCAAAAGAACACAGAACCATTTAGCAAATACTAGGGAATTTTCTGGCAAAAATGTTTTATTGGAATATCAATGAGTTTGATTTCTATCACTTGGCCTTAAAAAGCAAGAAAGTGGGCATGAAGAGATGTGTAATTATTTATGCCTATGTTGAAGAATAAAAATGGCTATACACAATGTATCTTATGTCTCAAAAATTTTATTGTTCATAAGGAATATAAAAAAGACAGAAACTAAATTAAAATTTATTTCCAAACAGCAATTTGTTTTTATTACTATTTTTAGATAAATTTCAAGCTGAAGTTCATTTATGATAGAATGCAACCAAAATGGAAGGCGTTCACAAAGAGAATGAGAAATTCCATATATTTCCCTGAAGAAAAGACCCTTTTTCAAAAAGCCTTATACTGAGTGTGCCATTTTAATTTGTGTAACATAAAAGAGGCCAGAAATTACCATTTTGTCTTTAAAAAATATAGAACCTACATTTCCGTTTGTATTTTTATTAACAGTGTAACTCAATTCTCTAATCCCAACAGTAGAGGCCTACCAAGTAGAAAATTTCTACCACCTATTATCACCTCCCTAAATATTTTACACAAATGTCCCAAGAGGTACACCCTCATATTTCAAATGATTCATAACCTAACTGTTCACTGAATTCTTGCCAAGGACTATCCTGAAAAGATCAGCAATATTAGTGTATTCACAAAGGATTCACTAAAAAAGTCCTTCGATTCTACTGCATTCTGTATAATTTAATCCCTAAGCCACCTGAAGGATTTAAATTCAATTGGTGACCACTGTCCTTTTTAATTCTCTTCTAGTTCTTTCTTTCTTCTAAGATAATGTAATTCCCATTTGGTTTTTAATCCTTTGGGAGAAAGATCTCTCATCCTTAATGTGGAGTCTCTAGTGGTTATGTATAGTGAGTAGGCAATGACAACCCGGCTTCTTTTCCTTATGGTAAGATAAACAGTGCAAGGCCAAAAGATTGGCACAGGTTCCTCCAGCACATTATGGAAAAAGTTATTTTATTAGTGAAAAGAGGGATCAATGGGATTCACATTCTGTGTTTTCCTGACTACATAAAAAAAGTAGGGGGATCAGATCATGAAAACATGGGGGAAAAAAGATTAAAGTCCCAAAGAGACACTAAAATATATTCAATTGAAAGACATAAAATTATCAGGCTCATTGTTTTAAAAAAATTAAATTATGTAATAGGACTTCAAGTTACTGATTGTGTTTTGCATCAATGTAAAAAAAAAAAAACTTAAGTATTATACTCTAGACACTAATGGCATTGAGCCATACATAAACAAAATTACATTAAATTAACTTCAGTTTTTGTGCCTTTGTTCAGGTGTTAGTATAAATTAAAAATGAGAAATTCTTCCCTCACCCTTTGCTTTTCCTGGCATCATATTTTAAAACAATTCAAAAAACATCTCACAGGTCTTGATGTTACTTTAACAATAAATAAAAATATTACCTTGATTTCAATGTTTCCCACTTTGGTGGTTGATCTGATAATAGGTCTTCCAACCAAAGCTGGGAAGATGTGTTCTGGAAAGTTAGAGCCTGCATATCCACACTTCACAAACTGGAAGGAAAGAGTAAAAGTGGGTTAGGATCAAGGTATTTACTATATGCATCTAAAAACATTATCTGAAAAACACCACTTTGTGTTTATACATTATTTTACACTTTCAGTGCTTTCAAACCACCTACTCTATTTCCAGCAGCATCTCCTTTCACTTCTTTCATGGCACTACTTCCTGTGTTCGAGCTTATTTATCAGTTAATTGCTTACTCAGTATCTAAAAGCCCCCACTAAGAAAAGGCCCACAAGAGCAGGGAGCTAAGATGAACATTTCATGCTGGAACCTGGTGTTTAAAGAAGCCTTGGCGCACAGTGATCATTTTTGGCTTCTTACATTTTTATATTTAAGTAAATATGTTTAATAATATCCAATAACATAATTTTGGGCTGGGGATGTAGCTCAATGGTAGAGTACTTGCCTACCTAACATATGCAAGGCCCCGAGTTTAATCCCCAGCACCACACACACATACACACACACACACACAAAAGCAACATAATTTGGGCTGGGTTGTGCCTCAGAGGTAGAGCGCTTGCCTAGCATGAGGCACTGGGTTTGATCCTCAGCACCACATGAAAATAAAATAAAGGTACTGTGTTCATGTACAACTAAAAAATAAATGTTAAAAAAAAAGCAACATAATTTCACAGATAGTGTACTTCTTCAAGGGCACATCACTAATTCTAATATTTCTCTCTTAGAAATTGGTATTTTAAGAGGTTCAACGATTACAGCAAAACTTAGAACCAAGGATTTTTAATATTAATAACATAATTTTTCTTAAGAGCAGGCACTGCACTATTAAGAAAAAGACAATTAAGGGCTGGGATTGTGGCTCAGCAGTAGAGTACTCGCCTAGTACGGGCGGGACCCGGGTTCAATCCTCAGCACCACATAAAAATAAAGGCATTGTGTTGCGTCCATCTACACCTAAAAATTAAATATTAAAAAAAAGAAAAAGAATTAAAAATCATAGGGTGTGACAATACATGCCTGGATATCAGATACTCAGGGAAGCTGAGGCAGGAGGATTCCAGATTCAAAGCCAGCCTGGGCAACTTAGTGATACCTTTTCTCAAAATAAAAAGGGCCAGGAATATAGCTCTTTATTAAGAGTGCCCTGGCTTCAATTTCCATACCACAAAAAAGAGAAAAAGAAAAAAATTCAGGGTGGGAGAAGGAAGCTATATTAAGAAAGGAAATATAGCCAGGCATGGTAGCACATGCCTATAATCCCAGCAGCTCAGGAGGCTGAGATAGGAGAATCGCAAATTCAAAGCCAGACTCAGCAACTTAGCAAGACCCTGTCTCAAAATAAAAATAAAAAGGATTGGGGAATGTGACTCAGATGTAGCACACTCCTGGGTTCAATCTTTGGTACCAAAAAAAATCTGTATCTATACATGATATCTGTACTGAAAATGAACACATTTTTGTCATTATTCCATAAAATTCTTTACACTGTATTAGGTATTCTAAGTAATCTAGAGATGATTTAAAGTATATAGGATATTTGGAGATCATATGCAAATATTATGCCATTTTATGTAAGGGCCCTTAGTGGGCAGGGGAGAGGCAGAGCAGAGGAAGAGGCAGAGGGAGAAGGAGAATGTGTCTATTCCCTGAAACTAATCACCTGTGGATACCCAGGGATGGCTATGTATTTAATATTCAGAAAGAATCTATTGTACTATAGCACCAAGCACCATATACTTCTCAATTAGGATGAAAGTACCTGGATATGATACACACAGAATAATACAAAGGTGCAAATAAAATATTAATGTATCAGGGACAGGAAGCAACTATGTACAAGGAATTGTTTTGTTTGATGTGGTAAAATTTAACAACATCCTAAACTCACTGACTTTTGACTAACCCTCCAAAATATAAAATATCTTCAAATATCTTTACAGCGACCTGTTGAAAATGATGCTGATGAACCATATTTAACTATAAATAACCTGGAACATTCTGCCATCACAATTTTACTTGTCTTTTAAATGTTAAAATTATGATTCAAACAGATTGAAATTTTATGAAAAAATCTGTCTGAAATTAGGAAATTTCATATTCCCAATATCACCTTAATTTCTGTCCTTGCACTTTAAGTTTAATTTTAGAACTTAAATAAAACACACTGTTCATATGCCTTCTGCTAAATCCACAAAACCTAGTCCTCGTCAGTTTACCATTAAGCTACATACAGGCATATTTCAAATATAGCTACCCATTTCTGAAAGTATAATACTGTATACATTTTTTTTGGAGGGGGGTACCGGGAACTGAACTCAGGGGCACTAAACCCCTGAGCCACATCCCCAGTCCTATTCTGTGTTTTATTTAGAGACAGTGTCTCACTGAGCTGCTTAGTGGCTTGTTTTACTGAGGCTGGCATTGAACTTGCAATTCCCATCTCAGCCTTCGGAGCCTCTGGGATTACAAGCGTACGCCACCAGGCCCAGCTATACTATACAATTCTTATGGGTCACCTTTCAAGACAGAAGTTAATGTGAAATGAGGGCATATGTAATAGGTAACCTGCTTGCTCATATCCACCTCCACATTTGACAGTGGTTAATAATGAAGAACATATTTTCCATTTCAAAGAAGTGTTAAGCAAAATTCAGGAGAACTTATTCATTTTTCCACATCTTCTTAAGTAATTTATTAATGTGACCAAGAAAGATTTGAAGGAACAAATACCACAGAGGAAAAAAATAATACCTAGTAGTTTTTAGTAGTATGTTTGAATTAAAAGGAAAAGAAAAAACACAAAAATCTCTCTTAAATCACAAACTCTCTTTTGTCCTTAAATCAAAATAGAGTTCACCTGAACAAAAATGATATGAGAAGGTAGAAAAAGTATTATAGTTACCCCAACCAAATCCACATTTCAGTATAAATAAAATGTGGGCCTCCTGGTACTTACCAAAGGCTGTGTCCTTACACTGACTATACAGAAAAAGAGGCAGATTAAACCTATCCTATATACACCTCAGTCCAGGCCCTATGCCTGATCTGTACTGTGAATGGGGGGTGGGGGGGCACGGAGTTAAGAAAAAAACACTGCTCAAAATTCTTACATCTCACCTCAAAGTAATGAAAAAATGGGTGGGTCAAAAGTACCCATTCATCTGACTAAAAATGCTCACTTAACATAGATATAAATGTTCTCAAAGAAAATTAGACAATGAATGACTGAAGAGAAAATCTATAAGTTTATAAGAGCTGTTTCCTGCATGTTAAATATAAATATATGATTTATATTTATTATATTATTAAATGAGAAATCATAACAGAAGTTGAAGGTGGGAGGAGGAGCCTAAAACAGAGCTTAAGTAAACCCTGGTGTACAAAAGAGACTCCTAAGGTTGACATGTCTGCCCCTCATTCCGAGCCACATACACACAGTGGAAACAAGAACATGGCACAGTGGCAAATAAACACACCAAGATTTTCTGATAATAACTGTTCGGATGGGTAGCTCATATCTTAATTCTTGAGTCTACTTCAAGTGACAAAAAATTGTCAAGTACCTTAAAACAAAAACTGAGATCTGAAACTACAGATACAAATGTAAACTCATTTTAACTGCTTTTCAAAAATTTTTAAAAAAAGAAGGAAAAAGAAAAGAAAATTTGGCTTTTCAAATTAAAGATATCAAATTAAAACTATATAAGTAGTGGCTGGGGATGTGGCTCAAGTGGTAGCGCGCTCGCCTGGCATGCGTGCGGCCCGGGTTCGATCCTCAGCACCACATACAAACAAAGATGTTGTGTCCACCGAAAAATAAATAAATAAATATTAAAAAAAAAAAAACTATATAAGTAATAGCTTACTGAAAGCAGATGCTATCTTAGAATTCAGTGCTAGCATTCCCAAAGAGTATTTGGATACTCCACCAAAATAAGTAGAAACCGTACTACTTCACATTACTTCAAATGTGAATGCATTAATAATTCATAAGGAAATAATTTAATAATCCATTTGTCAATAACCAACAATCTGCCTATACCTTTCTTACAAAAAAAAATGACATTTAAAAATTCTAAACCATGACATGATAAAATGCAAAGAAATTATTTTTTATAGACCATTCACTTGGTTTCATTTTAAGCCTTGAAATTCCTCCCCCATGTAAATCAAAAATGACTTGGTGACTTAGTTCTCTCATTGTGTGCAAAAGGTTGTGTTTAAGAAATAGATTTTACCATATATAGTTTCCTCTTCATAGTGTGTGGTTTAAACTGGCTCTCTTACTTCCCACTGAGTCATCAAATGGTAAGAGCATGAGCAGGGAAATGTTCCCTCAGGCAAAAATGAAGAATAATCCCAACCACATCTGTTCTAAAAGTACCTTTTTCCTTTAAAAAAAAAAAAAAAAAAAAAAGGTGGGAGAGGGATTCGGGCTTATTGACTTTATATTTTTCCCTTACTAATCTGATGGTTTGGGGGTATTAATTATATAAAAACTTCTTAGGCCACCAAGATATTTTTTTTATTTATTGCATAGCATTTGCAGGATGAAAGCAAAATTTCTGATCTGTTTCTATTTCAAACATTCCTAAATTCAACATATAAATTAGCATAAATCTGATAAAGCAGGTCACAAGCAACTATGAATCTGAATTATAAATGAAAATATAATCATTCTAGCATTGTAAGCTTCTCTGTATCATTAGATCATTAGATCTTATTAAACTCTGTGCCAGTAACAGCACTTAAAAGTCTTCATTTTGTTCATAAATGAACTCACTGCTGATGAAATCACTCAAGTTTGGTAACAGGATACACAATACTAGTGATCTAGGCCCAACTATAAAGGGACCAAAACCTAGTGCTTCACAGATTTCCAAATTCTGGCCTCCCTGGCCACTTGCTGTGACTCTATTTTAGAAAGCAGGTTTGAATGATTAAGGTTGAAAGTCAATTTTTCTTTCTTTCTTTTCTTTTTTTGTAAAGTGTATAAATTATTGAAATCAGATGAATTTCCCTCCCCTAGGCCACCCTAATGAGACACTAGTCTAGCTGGGGGGTAATGAGGAAATGCAGCAGGGCCTCATTAAGTTATTAAACCAACATCTGGCATATGGTCAAAACAATGCACCTACTTTTACATCATTCAATTCTGGGACTGTTAGTGGAGTTTTAAAAAATTGACATCTAGAAATGTAGTTCAGTAGTAGAGTGCTAGTCTAGCATGCCTGAGGCCCTGGGTTCAACACAAAATTCCACCTCATATAGCCTAAAATTTTAAAACCTAAACCCCACCTCCCATTCCAGTGCTAGGATATTGAACCCAGGGACTCACACATAGTAGGCAAGTGCTCTACACTGATCTACATCTCCAGCCCTTAAAATCTAAACCTAAAGTAAATAAGGGCTAATGAAAACACTTTAGAGTAACAACTATTTCCAAGAAGTTTTTAAAAATTAAATCTGAATAAATTATTTAACTGTAAAATAACCATTATAACTTCAGGTATCCAAACAAAACAAGATGTTCATTCATGTCCAGAAGTATAATTAGAAACAAAATATAGACTCTAAGTGGTTCCTAATCCTCTTAAATTTTCTTAAGTATCACAGCATTCCTGATTTGCATATGATTTACATATTATATCCGAGCTGTTTCTTCATTTTCAGCCAATCATGTTTATAGAAAACATGGATAAAATTTGTAAGTAACTACAACATCAAATACATAAATCTTTGTTTAAATTAATTATACTTTTTCATTTACATCATGCTAAGAGATCTTTTATCCTAAAGAGCAAGATTTTAAAATTATGGATTATACATAAGACTAGCAAATGCATACAATCAGCTTTCTAATGTTAGCTAAATTAATGAAACAGTAACATAAAAATTAGCTTGCAGTTAATATTTACACATTTTTTTTTGGTGTGTGTGTGGTACTGGGTATTAAACCCAGGGTCTCAAGCATGCAAGGTGACCTTGCTCTACCACTGAGCTACATCCCTAGCCTTTTTATGTTTTTAATTTGAGATGGTCTCACTAAACTGCCCAAGACAGCTTCGAACTCCAAGGTTCAGGTAATCCTCCTGCCTCAGCCTCCTGAGTATTTGGATTACAGGTGTGCCTACCACAGCCAGCAGCAAACACTCCTATTCTAAATGAACATCAAAAACTCCACTGGTGGCAGCTCCTCCCAGCAGCTCAGGAGGCAGAGACAAGAGGATCGGGAGTTCAAAGCCAGCCTCAGCAATTTAGTGAGGCACTAAGCAACTTGGTGAGATCTTGTTTCTAAATAAAATACAAAATAGGGCTGGGATGTGGCTCAGTGGTCAAGTGCCCCTGAGTAACCCTCCCTCCCCCAAAAAACCCCACTGGTAGCTGGGCAAGATGGCACACACCTGTAATCTCAGAGGCTTGGGAGGCTGAGGCAGGAAAATCCCAAATTCCAGACCAGCCTAGGCAGCCTAATGAGACCATCTCAAAACTAAAATAAAAAGGGCTGAGATGAAGCTCCAGAGTTACAGCACTTGCCCACCACACGTGAGATCCTGGGTTCAATCCCCAGTACTGTAAAAAATAAGGTAAACCTCCTCATACAGAGGCTAAGGGTATAGCTCAATGGTACAGCAATTAGCTAGCATGTGTAAAGCCCTGGGTTTAATCCCCAGCACCACAAGCAAAAATCCCACATACATGTACCCATACTACAAATACAGGGTACCTCAGCTATATCCCTCAAAGAAAAAGAATCCATTAAAAAGAGAGTGCCTGACAGAGTCACAAAGTACTGTAAATTCACTTGAAAAGTATTAAATTTATATAGAGGTTCAATTTGATACTGTGGTGGTTATTAAGCTCATGGTTTTGTGTGTGTGTGTGTGTGGTTTTGTTTGTTTTGTGGTGCTAGAGATTGAACCTGAATCTCTGCTGTGTTAGGCAAGTGCTCTACCACTGAGCCACATCCCCAACCATGAGCTCATGTTTGCTTGTAATCCCAGTGGTCTGGGAGGCTGAAACAGGAAGATCACAAGTTCAAAGCCAGCCTCAATAACTTAGTGAGTCCCTAAGCAACTTATCGAGCCCCTGTTTCAAAATAAAATATAAAAAACACGGTAGAGATGTGGCTCAGTGGTTAAACACCCCTCGGTTCAATCCCTGGTACCAAAGGAAAAAAAAAAACTTCATGTTTTTTTTTTTTAAATGCACCTTTACTGTAGTCTTTTAAAATGCAGTTTTAACTGCTAAGGTAATATATGTATGTAATTAAATTAGTTTAAATATAATAACATGCTTTGTTAAAATAAACAAAACACTGGGGCTCAGGATGTGGCTCAAGTGGTAGTGCGCTCGCCTGGCATGCAGAAGGCACTGGGTTCGATCCTAGGCACAACATAAAAATAAAATAAAGATATTGTGTCCCCCTGAAACTAAAAAATAAACATTAAAAAAAAAGAACTTTTTTCCAATTATTCAGAGAATTCATGAAGTTCTCTCCTCTCACCTTACTCTTTTATTCCTTGTCCCATAGATAACTTATAGAATTTCAAGTATCCTTCCAAAACTTTCATATATAGACACAAATTTGTGGGCATACAAATATATTTAATAAAGAATACACATAAATGGGTTCATTCTAAAACTTTTTACCTTAATAAATTTTAGACATTTCCCTACAAATGGATCTGCCTCCCTTTAAAAAATTATTTTATATAAATGACCTGTTGCATTATAACATTCTTCTTACCCTGGCTCATTTTTTTTTTTTTTTAGTATTTTTTAGTTTTAGGTGGACACAATATCTTTATTTTATTTTTATGTGGTGCTGAGGATGGAACCCAGTGCCTCATGCATGCTAGGCAAACACTACCACTGAGCCACAACCCCAGCCCTCTTGTCCATTTTTAACAGTTCAGAAGAACCTAGTATAATTTTTATTTGTAGAAGTCTATAACAAATCCAGTGGGGGCCGGGATATACACAAAGCCCTGGGTTCATCCCCAGTTCCAAAAACAAACCAAAAAACAAATCCAATCAAGGGCAAGATTATGGCAATAGATGCCAGCT